TTTTTTTGTTTCTGTACGCGGGCCTCTCACTGTTGTGGCCTCTCCCGTTGCGGAGCACAGGCTCCGGACGCTCAGGCCCGGCGGCCATGGCTCACGGGCCCAGCCGCTCGGCGGCATGTGGGAACTTCCCGGACCAGGGCACGAACCGGCGTCCCCTGCATTGGCAGGCGGACTCTCAACCACTGCGCCACCAGGGAAGCCCCTGTCACCACTTTTTAAATAATGGCAGCGTTGGTCATAAACAGCTCTATACGTGGCCCTTAGCACTAGAATATGCTTACTTAGACACTTGGGGTGGGAGATGGAAGGGTAAAAGCAGATTTCCAAAATCACCAATTATTTTTTAATTTTTGTCATTTAACCTTTCATGCATATACTTTTTTCCACAATACATTTTCTTGTATATTGTTAACATTAAAACTAATTTGTCTTCCTGAACATACGTGACCGTGTATAAGTAGAACAGGAAGCCTAACCAAGGTTAAAATATTCCTGCCCTCTAATGGCACAGATATAGCTGCCTTATAAAATGACTCATTTACAGATTAGTAGTGCTCAAAAGAACTTTATCTACTAAGCGACCCCCGTGTCCAAATAAAAACTTCCCGAGAAGCCAGATCATGTTCTAGTCCAACTCGGTTTTATTTTCTTGTTAAATTATAAAACTTTTTAAAGACACTTTTATAAAAGTGAATATGTATTCCAACAGTTTAAATACAGAGTGAACACAGCACCGTCACCTTACCACCCGCCCCTGCCTTGAGCCCTTCCTCTCCATCCCCATCTCCCACACTTCCAACTCCTTTTCCCAAAGGCAACCGCTATTGACACTTTGGTGTATATCCTTTAAGACACTTCTCTGCAGTATAAGCTTGTGTATACACAGTGGGATGGGGTGGGATTGGATTATATTATTTTGGCATTTGAGTTTTGTTTTTAATTTAATGTCTTACAAAGTTTTCCACATCAGTACGTGTACATCTTCTACCAATCACATAATATAAATCTATGAGAATTTCTTTAACCGTTACCCAACTCTGAACACTTACATTGTTCCCAGTTTTTGCAATTGCAGGTAGTACTATGGTGTATATTTTTAAGTAGAGTAAATTCCTAGAAGTGGAGTTTTTAAGTCAAAGTTCATGTTTATTTTTTTCTTTAATGTATCATGTCAGGTTGCCCTCCAAAAATGTATATTCTCGCTAGCTATGCATGAAAGGGGCCAGTTTTCCCCACAGCCTCAAAAACAGCGTATTTTTTCACTTCTTACTGTTACCAATCTGAGCAAGCAATAAACTTATTTTAATTTGCATGTCCTTATTACTAGTAAGGTGTGAGCAATTTTTCATATATTACCCAAATTGCACGTGTTAGGCATCTAATGTTGTCACCAAATGAATAGCTAACTAACTGCTACATCATTTTCTATCAAGTGAACTAACACTTCTCCATTGATTTGTTTTATGTCTTTCAATAAAACTTCATCATTTTAATTGTATAAATCTTACATTTTTTTGCCAGGTCTGTTGCTTGGTATTTCACACATTTTGTTTGATTTTGAATGGGGTCTTTTTGTTGTTACATTTTCTAACAGTTGTATGTATGTAACAGTGCTTTTAATTTCTTCCTTACATCCAGTCACCTTACAGAACTCTTTTTAATAGTTCTAATAGCTTTTCAGTTACTTCACTTTGATTTTCTGAATAGGCAGTCGTGACATCTGCGTGAGTCGTTCTCTTTGCCAATGTGTATACCTCTTAATTCTTATTCTCTTCCTATTGCATTGGTTAGGACACCAGGAATGTTATGATAATGGCATTTTTTTACTTGCTTTTTATCTTACAATGAAAGATGAGAAGCATTTCTTTTGAATGTTACTGCAGCTTGCATTAAAATTAAAGATACTGCTTTTCTTTCCTAGAGTTTTTTGTTCATATTTAATCTAATAAAGTACTGAATTACTTTTGAAATTTCCAGTTACTCAACCATATCTGCATTTTATCTTTAAATCCTGCTCTATCATAATGTATTATTTTAGTTCACTACTGGATTTCACTTGAAGAGTTTACTTTGCTTTGTCTTGTTTTGTTTATGTTTGTTTTTTGTGCACCTTGCTTGGTTTTGGTGTCAGAGTTAGACTATTCTGGCAGAATGCTCTGGAAAGTGTTTTATTTTGTGTGTGTGTGCTAAATAACATTAATCTTTTCATTTGGGTTTTTTAAAAATGTCTTGATAAGTTTATTTTTTTTTAAATTTATAATTCCCTGGAAAACATCCATTTACTTAGATGTTGGTTTATGGTTTATTGATATAAAGTTAGTACATTTTCTCATATTTGCTTTCATCCCTTTTTTTAAAAATGTTTATTTATTTATTTATTTGGTTGCATCGGGTCTCAGTTGTGGCAGGCGGGCTCCTTAGTTGCGTTGCTTTCATTCTTTAACTTTTCATTTTTTAGTAATTTACTGTCATAAAAAGGTTGAAAAACTGGCCCCCAAATTTTTCATACACTGTTTACCCTTCTTCCAAATGCGCGTATCTGATCTCAGACTCTTCATGAATATGGACCCAGACAATTCTGGAGGAAATAGCAGAGGAATCTAAGGCAACATGAAATGCTCCCCTAGCCCCAGGGGTTAGGTCACATCCTAACCAGCCAGAGGCAAGGCTTTAGCCCGGCCAGTGCTTCCCAACCTGCAGACAGCTGTCTGCTACCATGATGATGCTGCCACATCTGTGTCAGTATATGCTGTTAGTTCTTTATTAACTCAGCTAATTTTTTAAAACAAAATTTATTTGAAAAAGAATTTCAAAGACTGCCATAAATGAAAGATCACCATGCCTTTATGTATTAATATTTTCAAAGTTCATCCACTTACTTTCTAAACGCTGTGTACCTGAGAAACAGTGGAATGGATCGTGAGTGTAAAGACGATGAAGAGCCATGCTGTCCCTCAGGGAGCTGGCAAGTGTGACTTGGCCTGCTTGCTGTGCCATGAAAGGCCGCCCTCGACAGCAGGGGGACACACAGGAGTTTTCCAGGTTAACCAGTTGGGACAAGACATTCCAAGAAAGGAAACAGCATCTAGAAGGCGCGAAGGCAAAAAAGAATGACGAGTATGTTTAGGCTTCGGCGAATGTCAGACTCCTGGAGAAGCTGCTGAATGAGCCAGCGTCCTGTGCCGAGCGAGGGTGCGCCGGCTGCTCTCCGAAAACAGCGCGGGCCTCGTTTCTTAACACGCTGGGTACCAGCGACCGCAGCTTCCGAGCGGTGATGCATGTAAACAGCTTCTCAAGAAGCGGCAGCCACTGGAATGGTGCATGAAAACAACTAAGTTTCCATTGGCGGCAGAGCACAGGCACTGCCAGAAGCGTGCTCTTGTGCGACGTTTGCTGTGCGTGTTCGCAGGCCGCCTGAGCGCGCTCCGTGGTCCCGGGGAGGAGGCTTCTCCCACAGTCACTGATGTGCACCCAGGCCGTGAGTGAGGGCCGCGGGGAGAGGCAGACCTGAGAGAGGTGTAGGAAGCAGAGCCCGCAGGGCGTCACCGCTCACTCGCTCCTCCCGATGGGCGCTCAGCTCCCAGAGTCCCTGTAAGATACAACCGTCTTTTTTCTGCACCAGAGAAGTGGGTTAATTC